TGTGCTATACAGTCTGTTCTCATTAGTTATCTATTTTATATATAGTAGTGTATACATGTCAGTCCCAATCTCTCAATTCATCCCATCCCCCTTTTCCCCCTTGGTAACCAGAAGTTTGTTCTCTACATCTGTGACTCTATTTCTGCTTTGCAGATAAGTTCATCTCTACCATCTTTCTAGATTCCACACATAAGTGATATTATATGATATTTGTTTTTCTCTTTCTGACTTACTTCACTCTGTATGACAGTCTCTAGGCCCATCCATGTCTCTGCAAATGTCACTGTATCGTTGCTTTTTATGGCTAATATTCCACTGTATATATGTACCACATCTTCTTTATCCATTCATTGTCGATGGACATTTAGGTGCTTCCATGTCCTGGCTATTGTAAATAGTGCTGCAATGAACATTGGGGTGCACGCATCCTTTTGAATTATGGTTTTCTCTGGATATATGCCCCGTAGTGGGATTGCTGGGTTCCTCTTCATTTTTAGAAATAATTTCCACTCCATCTAGTTTGCTCAGCATTATTTAGCACTATTCTTTGGTATAAAAAGGAGCAAGGTAGCAAGGACATGTCAGGGGTAAGTTAGTCAACCTAAACTATCAAGACCAACATTTATGTCATTCAGCATACTTATCATTTAAAATAAAGTTGAATGATTTTAGAAAAGCTTGTCAGAGTTTAGGAGAGCTGAACTCCTTCACTAGCCAATGAAAGAAAGGGTCTTAGCTGGCACTGAATCTCCATCATACACTTCCTTTCCCTCTTTCTTCATTCTCATTTTCTGCTCATTTATAAACAGTACTACATTATTTAACCATAACTGCCTCCTATTTAACACCCCCAAACGCCCCCCTGCATGGTCTCTTTTCTTCCGTCTTCTTCGCCTCTGGTCACTTACCTCAGCATTTACCTAGATCATAACCTTTACCTTAGAGGGAACAGGAGAGGGGACCTGACAGCATGGAAACACCATTTTGAGATCGGTGTTTTAAAAGATAACTGAACTGCATTGCAAAAATGCAGAAGCAGAAGGAGAACAGAAGAAAAGAAAGTCAGGAGGGAAATGGCAGCGGCCTGAATTAGAACAGTAATGACAGTAAAGACAAGACAGGGACAGATTTTTTTTTTTTTTTTTTTAAATAGGCTGAAAGTAGACTGAATAGGATATGGTTCCTGACTGTAGCACAGTGACAAAGAGGAGAGAATGAAAAACAACTTGACGTTTCTGAACTGTGCTGATAGGTAAATGTGGTTCCTTTAACAGAGACAAGAAACCAAGGCGAGGTGTTAGGTGTGAGGGAGTTGATGGACTCGAGTTTAGCCACACAGAGCTGCATTCATGGGTGATGTCCAATGTGCCTATGGACAACCAATGTTCCAAATGGGCAGGAAAACTTCTGGATTTAAAGAGAATAGAGATTAAGAAAATCTACTCGTTTTCTTCCTTTATTCTTCTCTTCATTTTACTGAATTAAAATATGCATTGAGAAGCTACTGCATGCCAAGTTCTTGGACAGGCATTAGGGAAAAAAAGAAAAGAAAGTAAACAGAATGCTCAGGGCATCTACAAGTTCTGGTGGGAGATGACAGCATAACAATGGCATAAAATGGTGGGATGAGGGGAGGGTTCCCAGAGGAGGCTTTATCAGGGATGGACGGTGCTTACTAAGGTTCATTAACTCACCTCACACCTGGAGGGGAGAACACATGCTTTCCACTTCCCTTCATGGTCTAGACATGCCCTGTGGTTCCAGGCAGGCTGTAAGGCAGATTCCCCCCCCAAACACAGACACATGGACTTCACTTCACTGCACTCACCCACATTCCTTCTGGGCAAGTGATGCTGTGACTTCTTTGTGGGAGACCTTTTGTTAATCTTCTATCTTTTACATGTAGGCAACAAGGTATTTATAACTAACTCCTGGAATGCTGTGCAACGTTATGATAGAGGTAAAAGTTTAATCCTGATTCCTGGGACAGCTCTGAAATTGGCCATCACTCTCCCGGAGAAGGCGCTACCCCCATGGAATACAGAGGTCGAAGCATCTTGACAGAGATTAGGGTGCTTAAGATTCAGGCCAGCCCCACAGTTCCACCCCTAGGCACCTACCCAAGGAGGAATGAAATCATACGGCCATAGGGAGACTTATACAAGACTTATATAAGAGTGTTCACAGACACTTTACTCGTAACAGTCAAAAACTAAAAACCACCCAAATGTCCATCATCAGCGGCGAATGGATAAACACACTGTGAAATGTGTCTTGGGCTGCAGCAGCTGCAGGGTTGAGGTGATGCTGTGAAATATTACCCAGCAGTATAAAGGCATGGACAGCAGATACAACAACACGGATGAACCTCAAAAGAATTATGCTGAGTGAAAGAAGCCAGCCCGGAAGACCCCGCTTACATGATTCCCCCTCTATGAAACTCTCGAGAAGAAAAAGCTATAGCTCCAGAAAGCAGATCAGTGGTGCCCAGGGCACAGGGGAGTAGACTGCACAAGGGAACATTTGGGGTGATGAAAATACTCTCTGCTATGAATGTGCTTACATTACTGGATTACATGTTTCAACACTCATCGAATTGTACACTTAAATTTGGTAAGTTTATTTTATGTAAATTATACCTCAGTAAAAGTGATTGGAAAAACAGTCACGCAGGGCTGAGGAGGAGACGCCCGAACACGCTCGGCTGGAAGACGCCAGCGGTTCCCGGGAAGCTCTGAGCCAGCACCACCTCAACCCTCCAGCCGCTGCAGCCCGAGGACGCCTCTGTTTTAATGCTTTAACCTCAGACCCCGACAGCCACTGGCCATTTCAGATTAAGGTTCCAATAGCTCACTCTCACCTTGCCACCCACCCTTAGGCCAGAATCAGCCTATTCATCCAGACAACTGATAATATATAATCCTAACCTCCTCCCACCCTGGACTAGGGATTACACTCTAAGGATTCTGACTACTCAGTACCTGAAACGTGGACTCTTGGCTCTTCTGTTGTTCTCGGTTTCCTAAAGAGACAAGGGGCTGGGCTTATTTGTTTTCTCAACATTTAAAACTACAGTTTCGGGCTTCCCTGGTGGCACAGTGGTTGAGAGTCCGCCTGCCGATGCAGGGGACACGGGTTCGTGCCCCGGTCTGGGAAGATCCCACGTGCCGCGGAGCGGCTGGGCCCGTGAGCCATGGCCGCTGAGCCTGCGCGTCCGGAGCCTGTGCTCCGCAACGGGAGAGGCCACAACAGTGAGAGGCCCGCGTACCGCAAAAAAAAAAAAAACACAAAAAACGACGTTTCTCTACACTGTCTGACTCTCCATGGTCCTACTGAGATCTTGCTTTTCCGTTATCCCTGCGGCCGTAACCCCAGGGTTGACGCATGCCCAGGTCCAGGGAGCAGGTCATTTAAGAAGGGAGAAAAGGGTCCCAAAACGTAAAACGCATCTTTACTGCAGCGCAAACCTTTAAGTGTGAGAGAGGCCCTGTGTAGTAGAAATAACTGAGGGCATGGAAAGGAGACGTGACCCATGAGCCCCTCTGCCAGCAAACTGGGGGCTGGCGAATAAGCCAGAACTGCAAACAGTCCTGATTGCTTTGAGCCCCACCCCCGACAAACCAGGGGCATGAGAATAAGCATTGAGTGCTTTGGACACTGATCCATGAGATGTCCTCAGTATAATCAGAATAATGGAAACACAAGGCCATGTCCTTGTGCAGCTTTTGCGCTCAAGGACAAAGCACGGCATGTCTTCAAGAAAGCCCACTGTTGCTTGTATAATCAATAAAAGCATATGTTGCTGCTTTGGCATTTCTAGAATGTTAAGAAAACAAGTCTTAAAATGTAAACATAGATAATGCTTAAATAAAAGCTACCACAGCAAGACAGACGGCGCTGTTTTGCCTGAGCGAGCGGCAGCCCTCTACTGCTGTGCTTCGGCACAATTCATCTCGTGTGATGAGCTTACTTTCGGCCCTGTCATAAGAAAACTACAACAGCCCTGAGTCAGGACACGTGCAGAAGGACTGCTTCTCCATTACTGTGTGCCTGTTCCTTCATCCCACTGACGTTCTTAAACAAAATACAAGTCTGAACTGCCCAAACAGCTATATTTTTAAGTGCTATTTTCAGAATTTCAATAACTAGTAATAAAGAAGGTTTGTACCAGAAACCTTATGAAAACCATCTTTTGTACACTTGATGTCATAGGAAGTAAACCGACATGACATTCAGTGAGTGCGTGTGATGCGACAAACACTATAGTAGGAGGCTATCAGATATGCATTATCTAGTCTAGCCCTCATAGTAATCCTGTTCCTTACATACACCATCCCCGTCTTTGTAGATAAATTCTCTAAGACTTAGAGAATAAGTAACTTGCTGAAGTCATTTAAGCTTCGGCTAGTATACAGTTTGAATACCCATCTAAGACTATTTGAAGTTTCCAAAAAAAAAACCCCAAAAACCCTCTAAAGGTTTCACATAAACTGTGGTCTATAGCTTGGATTGATATTCACAAGGTCCTGGGTTTGAGTCCTTTCTCAGCCATTTACTAGCTGTATGGACCTTAGGCAAGTGAGTTTCCTTTAGGTTAATTTCCTCACCAGCAAAATGAAGAAAATAGACGTAGTTCACAGAGCTTTGAAAGGATGGAGGAAGATAAGTCGCACAATAAGCACGCTGCCAACTATTGGTATGATCTCAAATGCCAAGTGGCTCCCAACGGAAGAAATACAACACATATGGACAAATACTGCCCTCAGCTCTTCGGAGTTGAATTTCCACACAGTGGATCACATTCTGCCCTTCAGTTAGTCCTGCCCTTCTTCGGTCAAAGTAGTAAACTTTGGAAGGAAAAACAAAAAAGTGTCTGCCTTTAAGGAGTCTATGAAGACCATCTCTACAGACTCATTCTCTCTTTCCTAAACTGCCTCTAAAAACTAAAACTTGACCACAACACCTTATTCCCAGACAGCCCATCCCTTGCCTTCACTCACCTGCTCCGGATACTTGCTACCGATGATCTCTGCTACAGTGTTGAAGGAATCAGCATCTGGGTAGTTCTTTGCCCCCATCTTCAGCTGAATGACAATTCTGCTCCCACGAGAAGCCATTCTTGACATCATCTCTGCATCTTCCACCGTAATACAAGCTGTTGGGATCTTTGGCACACCATCCTGGTATTCCTGAATACCTGTGTGAGGGCTTGAGAAAAGAAGCCACCAGGTTACCTTGAAAGTGGAAATGGACCAAAAGTATTTTTTGTTTGTTTGTTTGCGGTACGCGGGCCTCTCACTCTTGTGGCCTCTCCCGTTGTGGAGCACAGGCTCCGGACGCGCAGGCCCAGCCGCTCCGCGGCACGCGGGATCCTCCCGGACCGGGGCACGAACCCGCGCCCCCTGCGGCAGGCAGACCCCCAACCACTGAGCCACCAGGGAAGCCCCAAAAGTATTTTTTAAAAGACTTTCACTGATCTTTGTTTTCACGTGAGGAAGGGAAATGGTGGGCAATATTGGTTAACTTGCTTTTGATGTGAATGTAATTTTTCTTTTTGATAAAAATAACTTAGAAACTTCAATTTAATAATAATTTCATTGAAAACATTACATGAAGTTTATTACTTCATTACATGAAGTGTAGGCTGCAGACTAGAAGGCCCACTCGTCTGGCAGAGAACTGGCCCAGGTACAACCAGCTCTCTGGTCACTGACTGGCTCGAGAGCTACTCTCTTCCCACCCAAACACAGAGGTCTGTATATGTGGCCCTGCATAGGGGTAGATCACTGTGTACGAAAACCATAGAACAACATCTGGGGAAATGTTTGGATTCCCAGGAAGAAAAGTGCCAGATAAACTCGGGTCTGTGATTTCACTGCCACAAGAAAAAGAAAACTATTATGGTTTTGGCATGAAGGGGGAAATATCACCCCAAATGGTCAAGTTTTTTCTGCTAATTTCCAGTTGCTTCGTACATCACTGGAAACACTTGTAGTCGAAGTTGATATTAATCTAAATTGAAGTCGATATTGATTCAACCTCTCCTCATGCTGAGTTTATCAAATTCACTTTCTAGAACTGTTCTTTCCAACTGTCCCCTTTTACCTCTGAGGTAAAACTCCAAACCACATCACCACAACTCGCTCAGGACCACAGCTTCTGAGCGCTCACCGTATCCCATCAGTCTGTTCCTGTCTTCTGTGGAAGCACAAGCTAACAGCCTCCCTTTCCAAATGAAGTTTCCTTTTTGTACTTCCATACTCGTTTCAGGTTGTCTCATATTCAGAGAAAAGCCTTTTTCCTCCTTTGAGCCATAACACATTTCTCTCCTGTACAAGTGACTCCAATCGGCACGTGCATAAACACGATGATCCAGTCTTATCACTGATTTCTCAGTGTGACTGTTATTGCTGTGACCGTGTATCAGGTGACTATTTCCTGACTTAGAGAAACTGCATGACAAAGTGATTAAGAATACAGGTTCTGGAGCAAGACTGTCTGGGTTCAAATCTCGGCTGTGCTACTTATTGCTAATTGGCCTTGGGCAAGTTACACGTCTTTGCTTCAGTGGCTTCAGCTATGATTGGCGATGGTAATTATAATACCTATTTCATAGTTATTTTGCAAATTTAGTTAACTTATACAAATAACTCACTTACCCTGGAATATAGTAAACCCTTAACAAATGTTAAATATTTATTATACTAACTTATCTATTACATTAACCCTGCACAGAGAGACTGTGTAATCTCAAGTCCTTAGACTTAGACCATATAAATACATCCTTTATGGACATTTCTTAACTGCTGACTGAAAATTATATTCTTCATTAGAGAGAGACAAATGACTTATAAATTCAAAACTTATAAAACAGAAACCCTGAATCTGAATCCCTGTTCTGGAATATGCCTAATCCACTCTAATTTCCGGTTTAGGTCACATCCTGGCTCTACCATTCTCCACCTGCCTGACACCAAGCAACTTAGATTACCTCTCTGTTTCTGAGTTTCCACATCTGAAAAGTAGAGAATAATATTAGTATTGACCTCATAAGATTGCTATGAGGAATATAGGAGATAGTATATGTAAAGGATTTTAAAGTGCCTGGCATATAGGAATTACTTAGCAAACATTAGTTATTATTATTTCTTCAGTGTTAATTTTCCCCACTGAGTTGGTAGAGTGGTTAATGACCAAAAGTATTTTGAAACACGTAGGAAGACAATCTAAATATTTATTATTCATATTACCTGACGTGATGTCTAGGATTCAACAAACTCTCCTTGTTCTCAGGCTCTCTGACTCAAAAGGAGGTCAGTGTAACACCTCTTAATAGGCTCTTTTAAATAATGTTTCTAAACAAATTGGTACTAATAAGTTATAGGTAAGACTTCTTAATTTGTGGACAGTGAACTGGGCATACACCAGTGGCTCCACTGAGGAAAATGGCATTTTCCAACTGTGGTTCTGAATTCAAGATATAAAAAGCTTCAAATTTGTTTCTACAATTAAGCACGTTCCCCAGTGGTTGAGTATTCAGCATTGTTCAGTAGAAGGAGTCAGAGTGAAGACTCAACAGTTCTGTTTAGAGTCCTGTGTTTTTACTGTCAATTGTCCTACAGGAGGTGATCACCATAAACATCACCTTCCTGGCCCCACTTACAAGCCCTGCTTGCATTTAACAATAGCAAATGGTAAACTACAAAGGAAGCCATAAAAAATCAAAACAAGAACATTTAAAGATTAATACCAATCCTTCACAAAGTCTTTGAAAAAATACAAGAGGAGGGAACACTTTCCGACTCATTCTACAAGGCCACTGTTAATAAGAACAAAACTAGACATAGACCCTACAAGAAAAAGAACTATAGACCAAAATCTCTTATGAATATAAATGCAAAAAACAAAATCAACAAAATACAAATTGATACTGCAACATATGAAAAGAATTTTACACCATCACCAAGTGGTATTTACTCCAGAAATGCAAGGTTGATTTAACATCAAAAAAGCAATCAATGCAGCGTATTATAATACTATAATAAAGGACAAAAACCACGTGATCATCTTGATAGATGCTGACAGTCTTCGACAAAATCTAACGCTCCTTCATGATAAAAACACTCAACAAACTTTGAATGGAAGGGAACTTCCTCAAACTAATAAAAGGTATCTATGAAAAACCCACAGCTAACGTCATACATAGTGGTAGAAGACTGAATGTTTTCCCCCTGAGATCAGAAACGAGGCTAGGATGTCTGCTCTGCCCACTTCTATTCAATGTTGTACTGGAGGTTCTAGCCAGGAAAATCAGATAAGAAAAAGAAATAAAAGAAATCAAGGTTGGAAACAAAGAAGTAAATCTATCTCTATCCACAAATGGTCACGTATATAGAAAATCCTAAGGAATCCACATGCCCACACACAAAAAACTATTAGAACTAATTAACAAGCTCAGCAAAGTTGCAGGATACAATATCAATATACAAAAATCAATTAATTGCACAGTAGTAATAAACAATACAGTGTAGTAGCAATACAGTGCAAGATTCCTACAATGAAAACTGCAAAATGTTGTTTAAATAAATTAAAGAAGATCCTAATATATCGAAAAGTGCCCTATGTTTATGGATTAGAAGACTTTACATTCTTAAGATGGTAATACTCCCCAAATTGATTTACAGATTCCATGCAATTTTTCTCAAAATTCCATCTGCCTCGTTTGAAGAAATTTACAAGCTGATTCTAAAATTCATATGGAAAAGCAAGGGACTTAAAATAACCAACACAAGTTGAAAAAGTAGAACAAAATTGGTGGACTCACACTTTTAAATTTAAAAACATACTACAAATCGATAGTAATTTAAAAAGTGGTACTGGTATAAGGATAGACACATAGATCGATAAAACAGAATTGAGAATACAGAAATAAAGTTTATTGGTCAATTCATTTTCAACGAGGGGGCCAAGATAATTCAATGGGGATAAAACAGTGTTTCCACAAATGGTGCTGGGGCCAACCAGATACCCATGAAAAAGTGAAGTCACACCCCTACATCACACACAAAAACATTCAAAATGAATCACAGACCTAAATGTAAACTGGCACACATATGTTTATAGCACTACTCAGAATAGTCCAAAGGTGGAAACAACCCTAATGTCCATCAATTGATGAGTAGAAAAACAAATCTGGTATATCTATACAATGGAATAGTATTCAGCAATAAAAAAAAAATAATGTTCTGAAACATGTTACAACATGAACGAACCTTGAAAACCTTGAACCTTCTTTCACTTCTTTCCTAAGTGAAAGAAGCCAGTCACACAAGACCACATATTGTAAAATTCCACTTATAAGAAATGTTCAGAATAGACAAATTCACAGAGGTAGAAAGTAAATTTTAGGTTGCCTTGCACTGTTGGAAGGGACAGGGAAACGGGAAGTGAATGCTAACTGTTAGGGATTTCTTTTCAGGATGATGAAAATGTTCTAAACTAAAATTAGACAGTGATGGTATTTGCACAACTCTTTGAATATACTAAAAAACACCAAACTGTGTGTGTTAAAATGGTAAATTGTATGGTTTGTGAACTTACCCCAATAAAACTTCTATTAGAAGTTTAAAGAATCAAAATAAAAATCTTAAGATTTCTCTTTAAGAGGAAAATCCTGGTATCTTTTTCATTCAAAAATCATGCTTCTATGGCTCTGGTTTATGACAATGTATGAAAATAAAGCCTGCTGGTCTCTGTGCTTGTAAGAGAGTATACCTAAAATATAAAATGAACATGGAAACTGTAAGTCTTAATAAGCTTTTCAAATTTTATTAAATTTCTTGTGTATGTTTTGTAAAGTGATATACCGAAGTCAGCTGAATATTGGCTTTTATCTACATAAAATAAGTGCAAGGTTTAAACAAATACGTTTTGACATTTCCCACCTGATTACCACACATCAGTCAAACTCCCTTAATGCGAGTCACTTTTCACTAGCTCTTTATAAAAGATACCAGGCACTTTGTTTCTGAGCACTTCAAAATTTGCAAAGCTCAAATCAACCATTGGAACGGATGTCAGCTTGTGATGCTAAATATCCAACATGAGGAAAATTATGTATCCTTACTGAGGAATATGTAGGTTTTCATAGGGGCATAGAATATACCGATTGAAGTAAAAATTATTCACAACACAATGAAGTCTTGGAATGTTTCCTAAAGAAAGAGTCTAGAGG